TATAGAGCATAAGATGAAGACTCAATTCATTGTGTATGTGTGAAAAATCAGTCATTTTCTGAAACTGGGTTGTTGCAGGCACGGGCTGAAACAGTACTGACGTACTGCAAATCCGCAATGGTTGGGCGGATGGACCAGCTTACATAACACAATGCCCGATCAAGACTGGGAATAGCTATGTTCATGATTTCAATGTAACAGGACAAACTGGAACCTTGTGGTGGCATGCCCATATTCTTTGGCTAAGGGCAACCGTCTACGGTGCAATCGTGATCATGCCACCACAAGGAACCCCTTTCCCTTTCCCTCAACTAGATAAAGGAGAAGTTATTGTGCTCGGTTAGTTACCCCTTATCTCTTACTCTCTTCTAAAAAGGTCGATTTCAAATGTTTTTTTGTTCCCAAAGCAGTCCAGTCCAACTACAAGTGTACAATTCTACAAATATGTAATCTTATGAGCATATAAATTGCCGTAAAGAAGGCAAAGATAAGCTACAACTTACAAGAGACGCATAATTGTCAATAGCGCAAACGGTGGGTCCATATGGCGATATGTAGAGCCCTCACCACAAAAGAGAGTCCCAACGATGAGTAGGGATGGACCGGTTCAGGTCTGCCCGGACCGGGAACCGGACCGGCCCACCACTGTGCGGGACCGGCCCAGCCCGGTTGCCCCGAACCAGGCCCGGGCCTAGGACCGGACCTGGGGTGTTCTGAGGGCGGGCTCGGGCTGCAGGTTTCTTTGGAACCGGCCCGGCCGGTCCGGGATAGTTCCGAGCCAATTTTTTTTCAATGTCTTTGGGTGGTAGGCGGGTTGGGCTGGGTGTTTTGGAGGGGTTTGGGGTGTGTGTGGGTAGGAATTAATTAGAAAAGCAAAAACAAAACCGCTACCCGGCCCGGTCCGGTCTCGGTAGAATCATGGGCCAGTTTCGGGCCTTAACCCTCAATACAAAAGCCCGGTTTGGACCGGCCCGCAGCCAGGCCCGTCCCGAAACCGGTCCATGCCTAGCGATGAGTGTATATGTGGCAGTGCTATGTGAGCACCGCCTCCATGCCATGTGCGCCATTCTATGGAAACATACTTTCACGTGTTCATTTAATAATTTTTTGGCTTTGCCCCTGATTACTAACTAACCAGTCAGCCCGCCCATAACATGAATAAAAACCCTAGCAACATAAGAAAATAGAAACGTAAAGCCAGAGACAGAGAAGCTGTGCAAGTATAAAGTAGTATTTTTAAAGAGATAATTCTACTCATAAGTCATAAGTACTTTAAAGCTAAAAGCTTGAAATAAGGGAAGAGGTAATTTAAACTACTTTTCTATTACACAATAAGTACTTCTCTACAATACACTCCAGCTGTTACTTTTTCAAAATTACTTTTCTTATTCAACACTATCAATTTTTACTACTAAGCATTTTCACATAATCTCAAAAATAAATGAAAGTTGTACCACCAAAATTATAGAGTTGCTATACATTACTCATATATGATTCCTTTGGGGACAGATGTAGTACTGGTTGAATCAGAAGAAACATGACTCACTTCTTCAGACCGAGAAGATAGTAATAATCTTCGTGCAAATCTCATATGATTGACAAGTCTTCATACCAAATGCTGCCTTGTTTTGTTAACTACGCAGGAGAATGGTGGAATGCAGACGTTGAGGCAGTGGAGAATCGAGGGAACCAATTGGGGTTACCCCCAAATATGTCTGATGCTCACAAGATCAACGGAAAGCCCGGACCTCTGTTTCGATGTTCTGAGAAACGTATGTAAGCATTATAGAGTGAAACAACTTTTTCCGTGGGGTAAGGGGAGATGTAAAGTAAACTTAAACTCAAAAACTCACATTATGTGTCCTCTATAGTTTATAAAAAAACTGTGCGGTACTTTTGCTTTGCTAATAGATAATCATCTCTGTTCTGAATACAAAATTTTCATTTCAGTCCCATGATTATTGGGCCATTTTCACTATTGGTCTTAGAATTTCGTGTTTAAATTTTTTTATGAGTTGTTTGGTTGACTTTCATACAACTAAGGATGATTTTCTACAGGAAAGTGACCAAAAGGACAAAAAATATCTACAAATTCATACACGCACCAAAAGTGGAGCGAACTAAGTCAATGTCTCAGTGATCAAAAGCAAGAATGAGCAATATAATAGCTATGGCCCTATGCCCCTATTAACTAAAAGTGATAAATATTCTTCAAAAAACCCAACCGGGTCAACACATAACCAATAGGCATTCATTAGTTTCCTGTGTTATTTTCAAATGGGAAAAGGGTCAAATAAGGGCACGTATTCAATTAAGTGTCATATAAATACGTCTACTTATAAAAAGTAATCGGATGAGTCAAAACGACCCGTTGAGAACCTCGTAATTCTGATTTTAGCGTACGTCTGGCTATCTTTTTGAAATAGATTACAAGGCCGACGTGAAATATTTGGTCACGATTGGCTTAAATGAAAAGCAAAAATAACGACACGTAAGCTAAAATCAGGATTAGAAGGTTGTCAACGGGTCATTTTGACTCATCCGATTGCTTTTTATAAGTAGACGTATTTATATGACACTTTATTGACTACATGACCTTATGTGACGATTTCATAATAGTAGAAAGCCTTATTTGACCCTTTTCTCTTTTCAAATTAACCACAACTAACCCTGCCCAGGCCCCATAAGACACTCAATCCCTGTGGCTGGGAGCAATAGTCAAAAGGTTGAAGGGGGCCTAGGCTCCCCCAGATTTTCCTAGTGTATATACATACACATGTACAAATATTTATAAAATATAAAAATATGTGCAAATATGAAGCATTGACTCTCATTTTAAATTTTCAAACTGTGGCCCTATTATACAATATTTCTGGCTAGGGCATTGCCCATTTTGAAAATCAGGTGTCTAACTACTACAGCCATAAGCATTTTCTTTTGTGGAATGTGTGGACAGATACATATGCAATGGAGGTTGAACAAGGGAAAACTTACCTTTTGAGGATAGTCAATGCTGCCCTAACCAACAAACTCTTTTTGCGCTATCCGACCACAGCATGACCGTGGTAGAGATAGATGCAGTCTACACCAAATCCTTCTCAACAAATGCCATACTCATTGCCCCAGGCCAGACAACAAACATTCGCGTCCGCGCCAATCAAATCCCAGGCAGGTATTTCATGGCTGCCCGGCACTTCATGGACGTTCCCATCATTTCAGTAGACAATAAAAGCGCCCTGCCATATTCCAATACAAAGGCATTCCAAACACAGTCATTCCGAAACTCCCTCTCCTGCCCGCCCTTAACGATACCGTTTTTGCCAGAGGGTTCAAAAACAAGCTTAGAAGCTTAAACACCAAAAACTTGCCTGCGGATGTCCCTTTAAGTAGCGGATAGAAATATGTTTTTGACAATCAGTCTGGAGGTGAATCCCTGCTCGACCTGCTTGAACAGTACTAGGTTGACAGCTTTGTTGAACAATATTTCATTTGTGATGCCCAAAAAAGCCCTTCTCCAAGCTCATTACTTCAATATGAAGAACATGTACACCACAGATTTCCCAGATAAACCACCGACTCGGTTTAACTACACCGGTGCACCGTTGACGGCTAATCTCAAGACGGCTCACGGGACGAGGGTTAGTAAGATTGCCTTCAACTACACTATTGAGTTGGTTTTGCAGGACGCTAATCTTCTAACAGTTGAATCACACCCCCCATGGCTACAATTTCTTTGTTGTGGGAACTGGCATTGGGAATTTTGATCCTGTTAATGACCTTGAAAATTATAACATCGTTGATCCTCCAGAAAGAAACACTGTTGGTGTTCCTACGGGTGGTTGGACTGCTATTCGATTCAGAGCTGACAATCCAGGTATCCCAATAATCCTCAAGAATCATGACCTAATTTAGTCCCTCGACTATACACTAACAATCTAGAATTGGTGCATATTTCTTAGGATATCCAAGTTACATAATTAAGGCTCGATCAAGTCTTAAATTGGGTCTAGCTTTGGTCAACAAAAGAAGGATCCCTTCTTTGAAATAAATATATATGAGGGCTAAATTGGGTCCAAAATGTATAGCTGAGGACCAAAATTGAGTCACAAAAAGAGTTGTGTATCAAATTGAGTAATACTCCTTACTGTATAGTCGTCTAGATAAGGTAATAACTGTATGATCAACTATGGAATGCTAACTATCAGATCACATGAAAGTTGTTAATTCTTGTTTTTACTTTTTGGAATATATGTGCAGGGGTCTGGTTTTTCCACTGTCACTTGGAGCTGCAGACAGGTCGGGGGCTGAAAACAGCATTTGTAGTGGAAGATGGACCGAGATCAGATTAAAAGGTTCTGCCTCCACCAAAGAATCTTCCACTGTGCTAATGATAAAACATTCACAGTTTATTAATGTCTCATCATGAAAAAAATCACATGAGGCATCTTGATTCTTGAGGTTGAAGATCCCCCAAATTTGAGACAAATATAGCAAAGGTTATTATGTGTGTATGCAGTTAAGAAACGTTGTGAAAATGAAAAAGCAATTGTTTTCATCTTTTCATTTGACATTTCTAGCTTGGTAACTGTGGAGTATTTGTATTGATTACCTGGGTGGTTGGGTTTTAGTCTAGTATATAGGTGTGAGGTAAACCTTGATAAAATATAATTAATGAGTTAAACTATGGTAGTAGAAACCTTACTTGGAGAGTTAGGGCCTGTTACTTTCCGATATAGGCAGTGTATCAATCTAAGTCATAGGATATCTATTACAATCTTCCGATATAAGCAGTGTAACATTTTACTTATACCCAATTTATCTTGATATCAAAATTTGGCCAGTGTGCGGTTTTTGCGCCGCCTGTCCCTTTGATGTTTTGGACCAATATGTCCACCTATTTAGTTGTCCAGTTCGAATTCAGCTGAGAGGTGTCTGAACATCCCACATTGGCAATTATACAAGTACGATTTAAGCATCTCTTGACTGGACATATAAATTACCCACATTAAAAACCTTATGTCTTATATATCAAGAGAAACAAGGACTGAGAAAAAATGTAAAAGAAGTCTACTTGCCAATTTATAATTTGAAATGAAATGAAATAACAGGCATAACCATCCATTCCACCACTATATTTGGGAAGGCAACACAATGTCTGATAAGTGATAACACATAATTCACCTTAAGAGCAATAGAACTTTATATCTAGTCAGTCTGTATGAGTTGACCTGAGCTTCTTGGCTTCTAACTCTCTCAAAGCAGAAGAACTTAGTTTGTCTGCACTTGATTCTTCAAAGAGTATATCCACAACTTCAATCTGCACAATAAACTCAAAAGAAATGATTTGGTTCGGTTTGGCACAATCTACCAGAGATGGTCAAAGAAGGGACCAGCTTGAGTGGTCCTCAGTATTTTAATTAATTAAATCAGTTTCCCACTTTGAGTCTATTTTAATTAATTAAAGGGTTAAATGGCTATATAGCTTAAATAAATATGATAGCAGTATAGCACAAATTAATAACCTATATTATGTTTTTTAAGTGCATAGCACTTTTGTACTTGATGTGAGGCAACGTAATCATAGTTCGCTTATGCAACCGTCTGTTTTTACTCAATTAAATAAGTTAGTTAGGCTGTTGGTTTAGTTTTTACAAATATATGACATAAACTTAACTCCACATATTTAAAGTTGTACATACACCCAAATATTCCTTAATTAAATCAGTTTCCCACTTTGAGTCTAATACCAGTTTATTTATTCAGGTTTCCTATTTAAGAGCTTCTTTATTACTTCTTTCCTATTACTGTTTTAGGAAACTTATCTTTTGCCTATTTAAGGTTTATCAGTTGGAATAATAATAAGATGAAAGAATTCCCTAAATAGGAGTAAAAAAGTTTTGAAATTCCAAAATAGGAGTATCATGTTTTTTATTTCTTGAATAGGAGTACATTTCTGCCAAGTTTGGCATTACTAGGTTTTAAAACATGGTATTTTTTTCCAAACTTGACAGATTACTCCAATTCGGGGAATAAAAAACATGATACTCCTATTTTGGAATTTCAAAACGTTTTTGCTCCTATTTAGAGCAATTTCTATAATAAGATCAGCTTTGGAATATTAATTTTTATTTGGCGTACGGTGGAACCTGCGACAACTCCTTGGTGAGGGCGGGAGTCAATTAATATTTCAGGCGCCATAGATTCATATTTCTCTCATTCTTCTCAGAAACATCGTCCTTGGGCTAGATCCTGTACAAGGACCCTTAACAATTTGGTGTCCATATCCGGGACAATGGGGAACGATCATATCACCGCATAGACACTCCAAACCTTCATGGCAGATATTAACCAGCGCCAAGGATCGCTTGACGCAAAAATTACAGATCTTGTGACATCTTCTTCCACACAGCTTGCTGGCTGACTAGTAAATCTGCAGGTTCACACACCGACTACAACAGCAACAGCCCCTCCGGATTCTAGGGTGAGTGAGAATAGGGAGTTTCAGGAACACCACCATCGAGTCCATATCGAGAATAACATTGTGCCCCGCTATTCCAAACTCGATTTCCCTAGGTATGATGGTACAAGTGACCCACTCAGTCGGCTACAGTGTTGTGAACGCTTTTTTCACATCAACAAACAGCCCCCATCACACGTGTCAAATTAGCTACTTTTCACATGACAGGTGATGCTCAACTCTGAGCAGAAAACTTGAGTGCAGACTGCAGGTATCTCTTGGAACACACTTCCTCAATATTTTAATTAATTAAATCAATTTCTCTTTGAGTCTATTTTAATTAATTAAACCAGTTTCCTACTTCGAGCCTAATACCAGTTTATTTATTCAGGTTTTCTTATACTAGTTTAAGGGCGTTCTTTATTACTTCTTTCCTATTATTGCTTTAAGAAACTTGTCTTTTACTTATTTAAGGCTTATCAGTTGGAATAATATGATTAGCTTTGGAATATTAATTTTATTTGGCGCACAGTGGACCCTGCAATTACTTTAGCGATTTCTGTTTCTATGCCATAGATTCATATTTTTCTCGTTCTTCTCGGAATCATCCAGCTTGGACTAGATCTTGTACCAAGGCCCTTAACAGAAAGACTTGAAAATAAAAGATAAATGGAAACTAAATGACAAATGATATAATGATATCTCTATATATAAAGAGTAGGCCATAGATCAGACCTTAAGTTGTAAGAGACCTCTCTCAGTCCTCTTCTTATTGACAGCAAAACCACCCGGTAGAGTCTCTTTGCTAATCACAAAAACACCCATAGCCACATTTTAATGAATTGCGTTCGTGCATGACTAAGTAAATGTGGAGCCACATAGGAATAATACTCTCTCTTCCCACCCCCACCCCCTCCCGCACCCACAGAAAAATATGTTCCAACTTTCAAAAGGTATGTTTGTCTTGGCATCTCTATGTTCCAACGTTTTTATGACACCTCTGAGTTTTACCTTGCCATAATATAAAACTTGCACCTCAACCAAAACCAATGTTTAGAAGACACTTTTAAGCCTTGAAGTGCTTTGCATTTGGAGGCTAGTCTAAGGCGGCTTGAGGCACAACTACGTAAGCCAGAAACTGCATACAAAACTTCTTTTAAGAATCAAACTTACTAACAATCCTATAGGACGATGATAATCCCAACTTGACCTCTCTGCTTTAAATAAAACTCCCTCAGTCCCACTAAGATTGTCTCATCTTTCCGTTTTGGTTCATCCCACTAAGATTTTCCCATATCAAATTTGGTAAGGTTTGTGTGGTTCCAAGTCATTCTTACGTAATCAATTCAATATCAACCACATAAACTCACTTTTATTAATAACCGCACCACATCCTCATGTCCCAATGTTAGTGGGACGGAGGTAGTACTATCAATTATTTCAAAACAATCTTGTTTACAAAATATTCTGATGACGTGTATTAACCTATTGTATACACTTATTAGAGGCAAATAATTCATTTTTTGTCCCTTTTGATATAGAAGTTGTTTTTCCTCCTTCCCAACCAAGATTTAAAACATCGGAATGGAAGATATATCAGCTTTTACTTTAATTAATATATTGATAGATATATGATATCCATGCCGACAAAAAATGTCAAACTTTATTAAGTCTTTGGAAAGTAAACATTTAGAATTCATGCACTTTGAATATATTTAATTCATAAGCTTAACATTAGTTTTTTTATAAGATGACATTGTACTAATATATTGACAATAAGCATTGTTCCTATAATTGGATTTCACTTGAACAACAGGTTACCCGTCATATGGAGTGTTTAGGGAAGAATGACCTTATTGGTGGGGTTAATTTAAAATAATCTATAGTTGGGATCACTCAGAGTTTGGATTATTATAAAAAAAAACTAAAGAACATTAAGAATCATGCATAAAAATGGGTCATAACTAAATGCTACAGACCACTATCATAAGCTTAGCTCTTTGTACAAAAGTTTATAAGAATATTTGCCATAAATAAAATCAGAAAAAAATTGGTCTTTAACTTCTGTTGATACTTGAGATTGCTAGAATAACACAGAGAAATGTATCTGTAATTGTGTGAATTGATTGAGCCCTGCAATGAAGAGAATAGTGATGATAGTAGCTCTGCTACTCTGGAAGAAATGTTTTTATGCAGGACTGAAGAGTAGTTTGTGGGTTATGTAAAATAAATGCACTTTATAAGTAGAGCATGAAAAGATAACTGTTGATTCCAGCAAATACGTATTAGAGATTCAAAAAAATGGCTAAAGTCATCATAGGACAAACATGTAATTGACCATATATTGATATACGGAGTATGTAAACTGTAAAAACTAGGTTCAAATTTCATAAAGGTAGAAAAATGAAGTAGAAAAAAGAAAAGATTTTATCAAAGAACCTGACTACAATAGCCTCCAAATTCTCATCAATGATTGAAGGACCATAAGGATCAACAATTGGTTCGGCTTGTACAACCAGCTCAGGCTTGATGCTCTAGACAAAAAATGTATGAAGGAACAAAGAAAGATATTACAAACCATAAAACAGTTTCTAATTGACCATGAAGATTAAGTGACATTGCAGCATCACTTTAAATGCTAAAAGGCTAAACTTCATATTGGCATATCCATAAATTCCCTTGTATAATGTATAGTAACTATGGGAGTATTAGTACCTTGATGTAGTCCTCAACATTTTGCATTCTTTGTTTAATTGGCTCTATTAAATCGGCATACTGCACAAAGAAAGCAGTTACACGTGTCTTGCACTGATATATCTCAAATACAGTGAATAGAAAAAGTCGAAACACTACCGTTATCTATACAGAGGCAATCTTTTATACTCCGTATTAAACGATGCTGGGAAATAAATATCATTTACTTAGTGTCTCATTTCAACGGTAAATTACAACTGATCATCAGTATAAAGAACCGTACTATGCTTTTTTTAAAATCTCTCTTTAAGCGCCTTTTACTCCTACTTCCCAAAATAAATAAATAATATCCCATCGATCCTAAGATTTGAAAAATATTATATGTGCAAGATTTCACTCACTTATCCATTTTATGATAAAGGGATCACCTTTCAAATGCCGAAATGTGTGTTTCCCTATCCAAAATATTTACACAGTTTTAAAAAAGTTTAAGGGGAAGAGAAACATATAGAAACTGGAGTAGAAGCATAAACTTTGAAATATAGGTAGTTTTTCTAAGCCGTTGATACATTCTAATAGAGTCTAAGAAGTCATGAACATATAAGAGCATGAGTATGCGCCACACAAATGGATAAAAGAAACATAAAGCTGATATCTTTATTGGCAACAACAACAACATTCAAGCCTTAGTCCCAAAAGATATTGGGTTCGGCTAACATGAATAGATACATGATATCACCACCAAAAGGAAAAGAAAGGAAATAAAGATAAAAAAGATAAGCTATTATAAAAAGATAATATAAAAGAGATGAATATACATTTTGATAAAATAAAAAATATAAAAATAATGCTTATATATAAGGATAAAAAACAAGGAAAAAAGATGATATGAGATCTTTATTGACATTTGAAAAAAAAAACAATTTGTCAAACGTCCCCACTCCCTAACATTTACCGTATATGGAAAAAGCAAGATTAATTCATCCATACTTAGCAACGTGGATTTAGAAAATATTACCTTCTTCTTTGTCAACATCGGGCCATCGCAAACACCAACTACGATTCGCTCTCGCGACAACACTGCTGCAGCCTATAGGACACATCATATTCAATATTCAATTGAAAATTAACAAAGGAGAATTTTGTGAAGAATTATAAAGATGGGTTTATGCACAAGAAGAGCAGAAAAAATCGAATGTGGGGAGTCAGGGAACCTTGAGAAAGACGCGGTGGCCGTTGTGTAAGCGATCGAAAGTACCGCCGATGACAACCGCAGAATATGAATTTGGCGGAGATAGGTCGAGTTGAGCGGCGGATTCCTCATTCATCATCTCGTAAATATGTATTTGGCGGAGAATGGGTCGGGGAGAGTTCACCTATCTGTTTCTTCTCGGCTGTCTGGTTGGAATTCGGAAACAAGAGTAGTCCTCATGTCCTACTCTCCTCATGCCATGACTCGACGACTTTTGTCCTATTCTCCTGACTTTTGTTCTTTATGCAGATTCCCCACCATGGAGATGTTCGATGATACGTCTGATCCTACACTATATCGGGTGCATATCACTCGATACAAGCAACGAATGCTCGCCTTATAGCGTGCATGTGCTGAGGTTTAGGAGCAACACTATCTGGTCCCAACTACACTAGAGCTGGGAGTGGTTGTGCCCTCCGCAGATTTCTTTTAATTATGTATATAGAGAGAATTTTTTAGGTTCAGCACGTTTTTGTTTGAACGCCGTCCGAACATCTTTGCTTGGGGCGGTTCTCGATGGAATTTTTTTATGAAATATTTTGAGCATGTTCCTCATCAAGTCTACTTTATCCATACTAATTTTCACCTTAAAATTCGATCGGGAAGGCAGTAAAATAATTTTTTGAAGTTAACTGTGTTTGTCTATGTATAATTTGGCGCAGTTAACTTCAACAAATTGTTTGACTGCCTTCGCGGTCGAATTTTAAGCTGAAAGTTGGTATGGATAAACTAGACTTGATGAGGAACATGCTCAAAATATTTCATGAAAAATTCCACCTGGAACCTCCCCGAACGGCGGTGTTCGGACGACGTTCGGACCGGGGGTTGCTGGACAGGAGAATGACTCTATACATATATATTATACAGGGTGGTCGACAATCAACTTTTGAATGTAAAAATAATTTAGAACCACAATCAAATTTGATATTGATCAATGTTAATGAGGCAGGCTGAAAAGAAAATGTAAGAAAATCTTAACAAAACAAAGGGAGTAATATATTTATGAGCTCGACTACTAACGTTGAAGCTTGGAGGGTTGATTACATTGAGAGGGTTTCTTTGGAATTCGCCGGAATTAGGTCGGAATAAGTGAATAACGCTGGTGACCACTAGGTCTAGCGACTGATCGAGAGCATGGGCGGAGCTAGGGGTGGGCCAACCTAGGCCATGGCCCACCTCAAATTTTAAAAATGGCTTAATTTTTAAGGTAAAAAATTTTGTGTAATTTTTTTTCTAAAAATATTCTTTGTACCGGACCAGCCCGACCTAATGCTCTGCCTCCGCACCTGATCGAGAGCATTATTGTTTTGAGGTGACTGGCGTAGCGGCTTTGCTATTGTGTATTTTGGGCTATAGTCATGTACTGAGCTTGTTATTTTTTGTGGTTGTGGATAGTCAGGCTCAAGTTTGACAAAGAATTCATATAAATCGATTTTGTACACAGATTTCTAAAGGTAGTAAAGAGTCAAGCCTTCTGAGGTAATGTGCCCCTCCAAGATAACGAAGCTGGTTCCGCCACTGCCCGCCCTAACATGGTTCGTCAACCTGCCAAATGAAGGGATCAACTCGTTTGCAGAACTAGTTGATGCGTTCAACCAACAGTTTGCAAGCAGTCGAGTTCTTGAGAAGCAGACAAGCGATCTTTACAGAATCATCCAGCGTCGAGACGAGTCACTGGGAGACTATCTGCATCGCTTCAACAAAGAAAAAGTGTCGATTTCCAGGTGTGACGTTTCGATAACAGTGGAGGCATTTCGGAGGGGTTTAATCGACGATTCAGAACTGTACAGAGAACTAACTAAATACCCCTGTAGAACCTTCGAAGATGTCCAGGCCAAGACCTTAGCTTTCATCAGGCTCAAGGAGGACCAACAATCACAGCTTCGACATGACGGATATGACGGGGGGCAACGTAAATCCAACACGTCCAGGAAGCACGATTACCGGACTGGCAAACCCTATGCCAGAACCGAGGATCGACCAGTAGCGTCAATAGCAAGATGGTTTGATGATCCAGATTTGCCACCCGTCATCACCAATTATTGCTTCAATGTCACCACCCCGGGACTCATCCACTCTTTAGAGAAGCTAGGGGAAAAGGTTCGATGGCCCAATAAAACCGACAAAACAGCGGGACGTCGAGATCCGAGTAAGCATTGTGATTTTCACAATGTCATTGGGCACAACACTGAGGATTGTGTCGCGCTGCGGAAAGAGGTGGCATACTTGCTGAGGAATGGCTATCTGACAAAAATCATGTCTGAACATACCAAATCGCTTCTGGGACGGAATATCAAAGTGTCATAAAACGAACAGAGACCTCCTTCACCGTCAGCTCGTTGTAAGATAATTAATTTCATTAATGGTGGATCTGACTTATGTGGACTAACATACTTCGCAACAAAGAGACATGCTCGAGATTACTCCCGAGATAAGTCATTGTAGGTTTGCAGGGTAGAGAAGCGTCAAGAGGATTGGAGAAATGCGGCAATTACCTTTGACGAAATGGATATTCTCGATCCGACACATTTTCATCATGATACTGTTGGTCCCGGTTGTACTGGATACAGTCTAGAGGGGGGGTGAATAGACTGTATTGGTTTTTAGCTTTTCAAACTAAGTACCAGATTTTACAGAATAGCTTGTTCTGTTGACAGAACAGACTGGCAGCGGATGGGGTTCTGGTAGGGGGTTCTGTTGATTTAGCCTCAGAGAAGCAAAGGCAATAGGCCTTCTGTTAACTCGTAAGACAAGTTCTGCTGAACACAGATACCAAGTCTAAGGAGTTAGACAGTTCTATCTAAGTGCAAATATTAAAGCAGTAAGTAAATGACACCAGGGATTTTTATAATGGTTCAAGGAACAACTCGTTCCTCTAATCCACTGTTCCACTAAGCTTGTAAAAACGACCGTTTACAACGCCTTAGTCCTAGCACTTAAGAAGCTCTCCACGTCTTCTTCAAGCCTAGATGTCTCCTGGGATGCACTGCCTGGCTTCCTTTAAGACTGGTCCTTTCACTGAGCTTCCTGGAAGTATCACCACTTCACTACTCCAGTTACTTGGACGCCCTTCTTGTAGCAAGAAGAGTTTCTGTTGAAACAGGGGTTCCTCCAACTAGCTTCGTTACAAAGGATTTGTATGTGATGAGCTTGAAGAGTTGAAGAACACTTGGAACTTTGCTTGAGTTGGAAAAAGTATTTTTCCAACTTCTGCCTTCTCTTGTAGAAGATGATGAAGTGTTAATCTCAAGGAGGCTTTTTGCTTTTAGGCGTTTGAATTTCTTGTATGAAGAGTTGTAGCAATGGTTAGCAAAAATTGCAAAAGTTATCCGGTTGTTCTTCGTAGTGTATCTTTTATACTGAGGTTGTCTTCCCGTTGGAGGAGTAGGAGGACAACTGCATTTAATGCGCGAGCAGTTGACTTGACCAGTAGGACCCGGTAAAGTTGGCGGGTTACTATTTTGGGATAAAGTAATCCTGACATTGCGCCCAATCATCTGCAATTACTCCACGGAGCATGGGGAGCATTAAATGAGCATTTAATGCGAGCACTGTAGCTTTTCCGTTCAATACTCCTAGCCGTTGAAGGAATCTTTCAGTTGATTTCCCGGCTTTGTGGAATTCTTCCAAGTGTCAGGCCTTCTGGTGTCTTTAGCAGAGAACTGATCAGAGAAGGTCTTGAGCACTTCTGATGATAATAGCTTACAGAGAACCAGGAGGGTTTCTGTCAAACTAAAGGCTAACAGAGACCCTGAGGTTTTCTGTTCCTTGACGGAGAACCAAAGATCTTCTGTCAGGAGGTCTTCTGGTAGAGAGGCCTTCTGGTAGTCGATTATGCTAAGAACTTTACAAAGGAAAATTCTAATACATAATTTCTAAAGGGGTACTCTAAAGTCCTAATTAATATAGCATCAACAAAATCTAATTACAATTATTCCTTACAATTTCCCCTTTTTGATGATGCCAAAACCCTTTAACTATTTCCAGAGAAGTGCCTTCACCATAAAAATTTAAAGTTTAGAGCTTCCATTAAAATCTTGGTGGGCAACTTGGCATAGGAAAATAGTAAGAGTGCGGTACATTCAGATAGCAGATAAAATATCAAAAAGCAAACAAACAAACACAAACAGAAAGTAAGGAAAAGTCCAAAGATAGAGGAATTGCCTTACAAAGTGTGAGGCAGAGATGTTCTTTTATTAAGGTGGATTACAAGAGTGTCTGATTACATAATTTCCTTAGCTGCTTCAGCTCTTGCTTGTTCATCCAGTCCTTGTAGTCTCTTTAGTTCTGCATTCACCTCTTTTCTGATTCCAGCCAGATTTCCAGTTCTTTGGTAAGAAGCCCAGACTAGTGAGAGTTTGCAGTCTAAGTAGTTAAGAACGCCTTCATGGATATCTTTTCCTGGTACTATACTATTGTGAAACCAGAATTCTGCTTCCTCCAGAGATCCACCATGTCTGACCTTTACATGACCATCATGGTCCAAATACAGATTCTGTTGTTGAGTAGAGGTCATCTTCTGCTTCATTTCATCAAATTGTATAGCAGTCATCGCCTGAGAACCTCCCAGTCTCCATTCTTTAAAGCTTAAAGCTTTCTTCTTCTTAGATCCTTTCTTCAGTGGGGATGGAGGTCTAGGGATACCAGCTAGCCTTTTCTTCTGAAGGGCAGCTTCAAAGTAAGGTGTGGGATCCACACTTGGTTCAGCAGATGTTGAGGTTCTGGTGGTCCTGGGTTTTGATAGATGAGGGCCTTCTTCCCCCTTTTTGGCATCATCTAGATCACCAAGCAGAAGGGAGAGCTTCTGGAATTCTGAGGCCTGAGTAGAGGCAATCTGTTCCAGGGTTTCTGGTAAGGTCTGAGTCACAGATGTGAGACCTTCAATAAGCCCATGTTGCTTCTGAAGTGCAGACAGGATATCTTTATTACTGGCTTCTAAGAGAACCATCTTCTGGTATCTCTCTTTGTCTTGGGCAAATAGAGTCCTGGCTTGATCACGATGGACTTTGCACAGTTCCTCTATGTCCAGTAGCTGTTCTTTAGTCTTTGTATCAGCCCATTGAAGTTCATCAATATTTGAGGAGATTGTTTCAATAGTTTTTCCCTGAGCTATCAGAGTCTGATGAAATGTGAAGAGGGTTTTATGGATACTTTCCACTTCCGTTGTCAGCGCATCTGTTTTAGCAGTTGAGGAAGCCATGAAGTCGTTGAGAGATGCTATCAGAGTCTGATGAAATGTGAAGAGGGTTTTATGGATACTTTCCACTTCTGTTGTCAGCGCATCTGTTTTAGCAGTTGAGGAAGCCATGAAGTCGTTGAGAGATGCTGTCAGATTCTCAAAGCGATCTGAGATAAACTGCATCCCAGAGTTGAGATTATCATTCACATGAGCAAGGTGCCCA